GTGCAGATGTCGACGAGCGGTAGCGGTAGCAGTGGCGGGGCCGGACCGTCTGGCTCCAACGCGGCGGCGGCGTACTCGGGCGTGCAGCCGCTCGGCGGCCATGGCGGCGGCCACGATGCAGCAGGCATGACGACGAGCGGCGGCCATGCGGCGGCGACGGCGGCCTTTGCGCCCGTGCCTGCCTATTCGCATCCAGGCGGCGCTGGCGTGTCGGGCAGCGAGGGCCTCGAGGGCCACGATCTGGCGCTGGGCGGCGGCGGCGGCAGCATGGTGCCCAACCTCAATCCGAAGGAGCTGGCGACGTACTGGAGCGACTACTTTTCGCTGCAGCTCGACTGGGACCGGCTGTCTACGTTGACGTGAGGGGGAGAAAGGGGGGTCCCGCCAGCGAGACGGCGGTGGTGGGTGGTGCCCTCGTGGATGTGGGGCCGCCCGAGGTGGCTCGGCGGCGGCAGCTGGCATCGGTCTGGATCCGCCTCTCTTTGCCCCAGTATCCTATCTCGTCCTTGTCTTTTTCGACGGCTCCTCTGTCTGCCCGTGGGTGCGTCTGCAGCCGGCCACCTCTATGTATTCTAGAATCCTCACGCTTCACTCTGGCCGTTGCCTGCTCTGTCGCCTTCATCCTGCTCGAAGTTCGGTGCGGTGCGGTGCGGTTGGGATCACAGGAAGTAGTTCTCTTATCCATCCGTCCTCTACCGTTCGCTTGTGCCCGTGATGCTGCTGCTGCTGCTGCTGTTGGTGGTGCTGGTGCTGGTGAAGGCGAGGTCGGAAGCAGCGACCCGCCCGACCCGGGGCCGACGGATCTGCGACTGCATCGGCAAGCGGCGGGAGGAAGACGCGCGGTAGCAGACCACGCGCGCCGGTCACGGCTGCGGTCGTTGCTGCTTCACCGGAGCCGGTAAGAGAAGCAGACGATGCTTGGCTTTCGGCATTCGATCCGTCGAGATCGGAACCAACCGAAGCAAGGCAGGGCGAAGATGCCGTGCGTGCGTTGAAGTGAGGCGGTGTCGAAATACGTACGGGACGAGGGGGGGGGCATGACGTCAAAGCAGGCGGCAATGCCGTCGCGCAACCTGCCGATCGACTGGCCGACGGGCCAGCCCCGCCGTACGTTTGACCCTCGGGATTTTTCGCACACCGACCGACTGACCGACCGACCGCGCCTCTCTGCCAAGCCAAGCCAAGCCAGGGCAAAGCAGGGCAGGGCAGGGCACCGAAAATGCCCGCAGGCTAGGCCAGGGTCCGAGCCTTTGCTCCGATGCGGTGCGACTCTAAACACGCGTCGCCTGCCTGGCCTGGCCTCGCCCTGCCGCGCCTTGCTTGCCCTTGCCCGGTCGATCCGGGGTGGTACGCCGACTGGCCTGTGGAATGACGATGTTCGCACCGCATCGCATCCGTTCGCCCGCTTGCTTCTTGTGCCGCCTGAAATGCCTCGACTGGCCTGCCTCCGCTCGCCCGCACCGCACCGCACCGCACCGCACCGCACCGCACCGCACCGCACCGCACGCTGCGCTACCGCATGCCTTCCTGCGAGCACACGTACGCACGACCAACGAAGGTCCTTCGCGGGCATCACCTCAGCCTGCCCGAGAGAGGCAGGTCGACAAGAGAGGGAGCCAACGAAGGACGCAGGCCGCCGCGTTGCCTCTTCATAAGAACCTGGGCCCGCCCTCACCGTTCCGTGGCCGGCTGCCTTCCACCCACACCTTTCTCGTCGCCCATCCGTCCACCACCCGTGCCCCTCTTCGTCTTGGAAGCTGGAATAGCGTAGCCTGCGGCTCGGTGCTCGATCGTCGCCCCCGCCCTTCTTTCGCCAAGATACCCAGCCAGCCACGCTTGCTGCTACCACCACCACCACCACCAACACGATCCCTCGGACCGGCTGAACCAGCCTAGACCATCGACCCTCTCAATCCCATCCACCGGCCGACCGACCCACGCCACCGACGGCCCAAGATGAAGATCGGAATCCACGGCCTGTACTGGGTGCTCCCGCTCCTCACCTTTTGCTTCTGGATCACCAACATTGTCGGCCTGCTCGGCCTGTGGGTCCGCGACAAGTTCAAGCGGTACGAGGTCGAGGAGGCGTCCATCGTCTTTATCAGCGACGTCGGCGCCACGCACCAGGCCTTTTTCATCGTCTTCAGCTCCCTCACCGCCCTCTTTTACGTCCTCACCACGCTCGCCGAGCGCCACCTCCGCCACCAGCGGAGGATCCCCGGCAGCGTGCGAAAGAGGCAGACGATCTACGACATCCTCAGCGTCGTCTTCAGCTTTATCGGCGCCGCGGGGCTTGTCCTCCTCTCGGCCTTTAACGCTTTCGACTGGTCGACGGTGCACTGGTCGATGACGGTCGTCTTTGTCGTCTTTACGGCGCTCTCGGTCCTGTTCCAGGTGCTCCAGGTCTTTTCGCTGTCCAAGGACTACGAGGGGCTGCGCACGCTCAAGCTCATCGCCATCGTCAAGGCCATCCTGCTCACCATCGCCGTGGCGGGCGCGATTGGCTTCATCGCCACGTACGCCACGTGCAAGGGCAACGCGTACCCGGGCGACCAGCGGTGCGACCGCGTCGTCTCGGCCGCCGCCGTGTGCGAGTGGTCGATTGCCTTTATCCTGGCCTTTTTCTACCTCACCTACGTCGTCGACCTGTGGCCCGCCCACCGTCGCGCCCAGAAGGGCCTCAGCGAGGACGGCACCATGGTCGAGAACCGCCAGCTGGCGCGCGAGCAGGGCACCGACGTCGGCCGCCCCACGGCGCCCTATGCCATCGACGGCGTCGTCAACAACGACACCCACTACCCCTCGGCGGCTGCCCGCGAGGTGCGCGGACAGCAGCCCCACGGCGCCCACGGCGGTTCGCCCGCCATGACGGCCAACACGATGCCCAACAGCGAGCGCGGAAGCCTGTACCAGCCCGCCATGGTCGAGGCGCCCCAGCAGCCCCGGTACTAGTGCGGCCGAGGATGGGTCCTGCGCTCGTCGTCCCAAGGCGCAGCCGCAGCATGCCTCTTGCCCGCTTCTGTCCGTGCCTTCCTTGACCTTGCCCTCTCCACCCGCTCCCCCATCTCCCCTCATGTAGCCAGATACCTGCCTCGCCTCTTGCTTCTTGATGATCTGTAGCCCCAAAATACCACTGCTAGATGCCCTTTTGCTCTCCTACCTCCCCACGGAGACGCCCTCGATGCCAGCTAGACGACATCCGAGGTCGGGAGGAGGTGGGGCGTCGAAGATGGTCGAGACGAGGCCCTGACGCTGTAATAAACCACCATCTCCACACTACCACTCTGCCGATGGCCCCTTGTTCGCCCCGACCGCGTGCCTGTGCGACGCTTGGTGCATCGAGGTGCCGGGCGACGGAGATGGGTTCCGCTGCTTGCTTGTGCCTCGGCGATGGAAGATGCAGGGATGCCGCGCTGCAAGGCTGAGGACGAGCCGGACGGTTGGACGGGCACTGGAGTGTCGTTTGTCGGCCGAGAGCGAGGCGCAGTTTGGCGGCGTTAGCCGGCGTGGTTTGGCTCTTGAGGGGCGCCAGCACCGAGTGGCCCCTGCGCGAGGGTCACGAGTCGGGCCACGAGGGCGAGGGCGAGGGCCAAGGGGCCGTTTCGCCCACCCCACCCGCTGCCCGCTCGCCCGCCCGGCTTCCGGCTCGAGTGGAAGATGCGGAGAAGCCGAAGGCCGTCTGAGCTCGTCGAGGCCAGCCTCGGGCATGTCACCTTCAGTGCGGTGCGGGGCAAAGACGCGGGCGGGCCGCCACGACAGCCTTCGCCCATCTTTCCCTCCTCTCTCTCTCTCTCTCTCTCTCCTCGCCACCACCACCACCACCACCGCCGTCAACTTCGCCGCTTGCACCGGACAATACCGCGTAGGTACTCTGCTCTCTCCGCTGCTCCTTCCTCCCTTCCGACCTGCACGTCTGGCGCAGCTCCGTGACTTGCGCTGTTGCAACGATCCCGCCTGCTCACACCCCTCGGGCCCCCATATGCTCCCTCGTCTCGACCTGCACTCTACACAGCACCCTCACCATCACTCCGCCCGTCCTACCAGCCATCCTCAACCACCCCTCTCCGCCCACCATGGCCGTCGCAAGCAAGATCGCGGGCAACCCGCTGCTGCTGGCCTACCTCACCAACCTGGCCACCAACCCGCTGCGCACAAAGATGTACACGTCGGCCTTTTTCGCCGCCCTCGCCGAGATCCTCGCGGGCAAGTTTGCCGGCGTCGCGCCCGCCACCAGCAAGCTGCCTCCGTCGCCCGTGTCCGAGAAGCAGGCGGCGCAGCAGCAGCCGCTCAGGCTCGTCCAGGCCTACCTCGAGTCGGTGGGCATCAACGACCGCGCCTTCAAGATGGCCCTCTACGGCGGCTTCATCTCGGCCCCGCTCGGACACGTCATGACGGGCATGCTCCAGCGCGCCTTTGCAGGCAGGACGTCGACAAAGGACAAGATCCTCCAGATCATCACGTCCAACCTCACCGCCTCGGTCATTGCCAACACCGTCTACCTCGTCTGCCTCTCGCTCATCAACGGCGCACGCGGCACCGACCAGGTCATCCGCACCGTCAAGGCCAGCTGGCTCACCGTCATGAAGCTCAGCTGGCTCACCAGCCCCATCCTCATCGCCACGGCCCAAAAGTACCTCCCCGCCGTGAGTGTGCCCGCGGTCCACCCCCGCGTCCTCGTGTGCATCTGACCCTCGCCTTCCCCCGTCGTGCCGTCCTGCTGACTCCAAATCGTGTTTGCTGCCGGCCTCTTTTTTTTCTCTGGGCTAATGCTGTCGTGGGCCGGATCGTGTAGGAGCTGTGGGGTGAGTGACACGCGCGCGCCTCTCGAACACCCCCTCTCTGCCCTGTCCATCCTGACATTGATCCCATCGTTCTCTTCCTCCCTCTTCCTTCTTTCCCCCGCCCCTATACAGAGCCCTTCTTCACCTTTGCCCGCTTCATCCTCTCGACCTACTTCAACACGTGAGACCCTGGGCCCTTGCTCCTGACATCGCCACCGAAAGCGATCAACTGACACATCCCCCTCTCTCCCTCTCCCTCTCCCTCTCCCTCCCCTCGCCTCTGTCCTCTTCGTCACGCCTTGGGCCGCACGCAGTCTGGCAAAGAAGAAGCAGATGGCCATCGCCCGCGCCGAGCAGGCAAAGGCAAAGGCCCAGGGCGGAAGCATCGTCGACTCCGACCTCGCAAAGGGCGCCGCTCAGGGAAAGTAGGTCGTCACCTCCCTCTCCCCCTCCCCCCATCCTCCCGGCGAGGCTTCGAGTTCCTTCATGTCGCCGCCGTGCCGTGCCGTGCCGTGTGTGCTGCGGGCGTCTCGCTCGCTCCCTCGTTCCTGGCCCGCATCGCTCTCTCGCTTCCTCTACCAAACACCCCGTCTCTCCCTCTTTCTTTGATGCACGGGGCAAAGTCTATGTTTCTATTACGCGAAGGCCCCGCGCGGATACTGACCCACCGACTGGCCGACCGATCGAGGGACGGATGGTGGATGTCCGACCGACGCCGCTTGGCCACAGGGCGGGTCACCGAACAGGACGGGGCAGGACGGGCGGGAACGCATGGGGCGAGAGAGGAGGGGAAGGCGAAGGGGATGGGCTAGACGAGCTGGAAACTGATCGTGACCATGGTAGCCTCCTCGTCGCGGGCGCTGCGAAGGGTATACCGTACGGGCATGTCGACAAAGAAGCGGTGCAGGTTGAGCCGTACGGGCCCGATGCCGAGGTTAAACGTGTTAAAGTCCATGGCGTCGGTGAAGAAGCTGGTGGCGTACACGACGTCCGGGTCGTAGTGGAAGTCGTCGCGGTGCCGCGCGTCGGCAAAGTAGCGCCGCCGCTTGGGAACGGGCAGGCTCTTGTTGGTAAAGATGAAGGCGTTGTCCTCGACCATGTCGGTCCCCGGATCCGAAAAACGCCACGGCCCCAGCGCAGCGTCCATCTTGGACGGCGTACCCGTGCTCATCGAGGTGCTGCCCGTCGAGGTGGTGTTGTGCGGAGAGGGAGACGACGATGGCGAAGGTGAGAGGTGAGTGCGTTGCAGAGCGTCGGCCAGCTTAAAGTCGCCGTCGCGCAAGCCGTCCGACTTGGCCGACTGCTGCATCTCTTCCCGCACGTCGGTCGTGATCCGCTCCAACTTGGGCAGCTCCGGCTTCGGCTCGCCGGGCGCCGTCTCGTTTGCCGAGCGGCTCGACGGCTGCGCGGACGAGGTGTTGGCGGGCGTGGGCGCTTTGGCTGCCTCCGCTGGTGCGCCAACGCCGTTTGCCGCCGCCGACGAGGCTGGCGTAGGCGCCGTTTGGCTGTTATTGGACGCCCCTTCTACTGGCCCGCCAAGACCGGCTCCGACGGTGCCGATTGACGAGATGGCAGGTGCCGGCCTGTCACGCGGCGACGCGATCTCGGCAACATCCGCAGGTGGCGCGGTGGCCAGTTCTTGGCTGCCAATGCGAGGAGACACGGGAAGGCTGAGCCCGCCGCCGCTGCTGGTGCCATCGTCGTCGACGGTCGCGTGCTCGGGCGTGCCCGGCCGGTCGGGCGAGTGTCCGACGTCGCGCCGAAAGCTGGTGCCGAGCCTCGAGAGCGTCTGCTGGGCGGGGGCGTGCTGGACCTCGGTGCTGGTGCGGGTCGAGGTGTCGTCGCTGCTGACGCTGAGGTGTCGATCGGACCCGGTGCCGGTGCCTGTGCCGCCGGCGGTGAGCTCGTTGGACTTATTGGCCTGCTTCTGCTGGTGGGCCTCGCTGAGCTTGGCGTGGTGCGCGTCGAGGAGCGCACGCACGCGGGGCTCGTCGCGGAATCCGACGAAGCGCCAGTATCGCTTGAGCACTCGCTCTTCCTTTGGCGCCGCCGAGCCGCCCATGCCGAAGCCGCTCAGCCAGCCCTTTTTCTTCTTCTTGGCCGCGGCCGTGTCGTCTGCGGCGGCATCGATGGGGGCGTGGTGGAGCTGCTCTGCGGGGACAATGTCGTCACCTTCGTCGCCGTCGCCGTCGTTTTGTGCGGCAGCGGAGAGGCTCGAGTGCGGGTCGTTGAAGCCCTTTTCCGGGTTGGTGAGCGAGGGCGAGGAGGGGCGCGTCGGGTTGGGCGAGTCGGAGCGGTGGGTGTGTCGGAGGACGACGACGGCGTCGTGGGCGCGCGAGGGAGCCGGCCAGGCGCAGATGGTGTTCATGCAGGCGATGTAGGGCGACATGATGTAGGGTCGGCCGGAGGCGGGCTGGATGTCGTAGAAGGTGGCCGGGTCGATCATGCGGGCGACGCGCATGCCTGCGTTGAAGGGAGCGCGGGGAAAGTCGATGAGCTTGTCGAAATCGGTGCCAAAGAGGATGTCGTTGCCCGAGTGGCGCTGCTTGAAGCGGCCTTCGATCTGGATGCAGAACTTGCGGGAGCGGTCCTGGAAGTACTCGCGGCCGGGTTCACCCTGCCTTGCGCCGGGAGCGTCGAGGATGCGAACGAGGACGCGGCCGATGAAGTGTTCGTTTTCGATTTCGTGCGGGTGTGCCGTGTCGTTGAGGCGGCAGGGTTCGAGGTGGAATCGGTCTGGGCCGACCATGACCTGTAGTTGCGGCATGCTGGCTGGCGGAGGAGGGGGTAGGGGAGTAAGGAGGGAGTATAAGAAGAGCAGACGCTGCCTGGGGGGTTATGAAAACGAGAAGAGGAGCGAGCGATGTGATGCGAGGGATGGCCAGGGGTGGGTCGGTGATGATTGCTCGAGATGGAGGTGAGCGACGGAGGAGGCAGTGGGGACGTGGGTATCAAGCTGGGGCGGCGGTTGTTGACCGAGGTATAGGGAATGGAGATGGGGATGACGAGGTCGGAATGGCAGGGCGATGGCTGGCGATGGAATCGATACGATGGTGGTGGTTGGGGGGATAGGTGCTGGCCGCGGAGCCAGGCCGAAGAAAGAAGAGGGGCATCGAGGAGGGGCCCGTGTTACGTTTGCAGGGGGCCCCTGTGTGCTGTTTTCAACCGCCTGCGTCGGTTGGACTGCCCTGCGGCCTCCACCTCCTAACCTGCCCGCCGGCGTGCCTCGGAGCTGCCGACATCGTATCGTCGTCGTCGTCGTCGTCGTCGTCGTCGTCGGCGTCGGGCTATGCCGACCAAGCCGAGCTGCAGGCAGCGTCGAGCGTCGGCCGGTGACCGACCGCACGTTTCGGGGAGAAATCGTACCATACGAGCCTCGACCTGGCGGCTTTCGGCTTGGCCTGCCTGTGTGGTGGAGCGTCAAAGGCTGCGCAGCTGCACGTCGGCCGGCCCGCCGCTGTTGGCATCGGCCCTGCCTGCATCCGCATGCTGCAGCGGGCACCCCTCCGTCCCGACAGGTCAGGCCGCGCCATGGCTGCCGATCGGCGCCGAAGGCGCTTCCCGATGCCGCCTCCAGCTGTGGCTCTGGGCGAAAATAGCAGCAACCGCACCCACGCCCGCCAGCCCAGCGGAGCCGGATGCAACGCGGCGGGCGTAAACAAGGCTCAGAGGCGCTCAACTCTCGCTCGCTCGCTCTCGTGGCCTCGGTGCGTGCCGTGTGCCGTGTGCCGTGTGCCGTGTGGAGGGCGCGGGGCGAGGGCGAGCGACGGCCATCGGTTGCACCGCCTCGCCATTCGATCCCGGACGGCTTCGGTTGGTCACCCACGCGGCTTGTTGCCCACCGACCACCACCACCTTGCCCCGGCCTGCCTCCCTGCCTCCATCCTCTTTCCCTCGCCTCCCTCACCAGCCTCACATCCATCCACCTTGCACTCGCCCTTCCCCCGCCATGCCCCGCTTCTCGGTGCCCGCAGCGCCAAAGTGCGCAAAGTGCGCACAGTCCGTCTACCACGTCGAGCAGGTCATCGGGCCAATGGCAAAGACCTACCACAAGCACTGCCTCACCTGCACCGTATGCGCAAAGCGCCTCGACTCGACCCTCCTCGTAGAGCACGACGGAGAGCCCTTTTGCAAAAACTGCCACAAGGAGCACCTCGGCACCGGAAAGGGCGGCTTCACCACCGCAGTCAAACTCAATCCCGTATCGCCAAAGGCCCAATCCGCCTCGTCGCCCCGCGCACTCTCCTCGCCCCGCACCCTCGCGTCTCCCACGCCATCCTCATCCTCGCCGGCAACCAACGCATTCCCACGCTCTCCCAGCCCAACAAAGCCACAACCGAGCGCAGCCTTCCCCCACGGCCTCGAGGACCAAGGCGTCACCGGCATCTCGATCCGACCGCGCGGACAACCTACCAGCCCGACCACCACCACCGCCGCCGCCACCGCCCGACCCTCTTCGCCATCCAAGGTCTCCTCACGACCCTACGTCGCCTCGCGAGCGACCCCCAGCACTCCCATCCGCTCCATTGACGATGCCGTCTCATCCACCCACCCGCACATCCGCGACCCCGTCTCGAACCTCGTCGACAGCGTCGGCGGCCTCGGCCTCCAAACCATCGGCAACGACACCGAAGACCACGAGACCGACGACGAGCCGCGCAAGCTACCTTCGGCCAGCTACTATGCCACCCCACCCCCTCGCGCGGGGCACAGCTTCGACTCGACCTCTTCCACCGCCACCCCATCGCGAACATCCTTCGCCTCGCCCGCAGCCACCTCCACCACTTCCACGCTCGCATCCCCCGCGGCCGACGCCTACGACCCGCCCGTCACCATCACGACGCGCCGCATCTCGGCCGCCGACACCATCGGCTCCGTCCGCTTGGCCGGCAACGCCCACGTCACCTCCCACCACTCGCCAAAGGTCAACGCCATCTCGCCCGCAGAGGCGCTCGGCACCCTCCCGCCCCCACGCCGTCCCGATCCAAAGACGCTCAACGGCGCCGCGGGGATTGCAAAGGTTGCGCCACCCAGGATGACCATCAACCCCAACACGACGACCAGCCCGGATCGGCTAGGGGGCCCCAGCGGTGCACGAGGGCTGCCGAGCGAAGGGTCCGACTCTTCGCTCAACGGGCGGGCTGCCAAGGGCGGCATCGAGCGGCTGGGCCTCGGCTCCATCATCTCGGATGCGGGAGGAGGCACGCCTCTCTGCGCACGCTGCCAGAAGCCAGTCTGTGAGTGCCGATTGAGTAATGACAACGGTGAATCCATTGGTCGCCGTCGCCGATAAGCTGACCTTCCCTTCCGTCTCCTATCACATCTTCCCGCCCACCGCGCGAGACAGACTTTGCGGAGCAAAAGGCGGCGGCGGGGCGAAAGTGGCACCGCGCGTGCCTGCGCTGCGACGGCTGCTCGACGACGCTCGACACGGGCAAGCTGGAAGAGGGGCCCGTGGATCGCACCTACAAGGGCGGCGCAAACATCTGGTGCCGCGTCTGCTACGCCAAGGTGAGTGAGCCGGAGTCGCGGGGGGGTCAGAAGCTGGGCCGCGGTCATCGACTGACACTCTCGGCCCCCTCTCTGTCTCCCCGTCATTCGACGACGGCGATAGTATTTTGGACCCAAGAACCTGGCCGTTGGCTTCTCGTTGCCCGACACGCTGCCGCCGTGATGCGGTCGCACTCTTTCCAGGCCCGCAGGCATGAGCCCTTGTAGCCCTTCCCTATCCCTCCCGAGCAATGCCCAATGCCGCTGCCGTTCTCGTCGCTTCCGATGGAACGCAGTCAGGCGAAGCGATGATTCCCTCGCCGAGGGTCCATGTTTTCGGTGCGAGCGAGCGTCAGGCTAGATCAAGTTACAATTCCACCCTGCGACTGCCAGCGGGCGTCGAGGGACCAAGGTCGACGGGCGGCTACCAGTGGAGGATGTGGGTGGCGCAGTGGTATCCGTTTGGGTTGTTGATGAGGTACTGCTGGTGATAGTCGTCTGCGGGGAAAAAGTCGGAGCGGTTGCGGATTTCGAGCTGGGTGACGATCTTGGAGCCCTTTGGGTCAAAGTGCTTCTTCTGCACCTCTTCCGTCACCTTTTTGGCCGTGGCGAGCTGGTGGTCGTCGTGGGCGAAGATGGCGGAGCGGTACTGGGTGCCGCGGTCGTTTCCCTGGCGGTTGAGCTGGGTGGGGTCGTGGGTGCGGTAGAAGAACTCGATGAGTTCGGCGTAGCTCACTTTCGACTGCGGGTAGGGGCGGCCGTGGTGGTGAAGGAGGTGGTCCGAGGACGGATGTGTCAGTCGTGGAGCGAGCGAGGGCCGGGCGGTCGAGGAGCAGACGCGTGGCGCGGTGAATGGGGGCACTCACGGGGTCAAACTGGATCTGGGTGGCCTCGGCATGGCCGGTCCTGCCCGTGCAGACCTCCTCGTAGGTCGGGTTCTTGCTGCTCTCGGATCCTCCAATGAATCCGACCTTGGCGTCGATGAGACCCTTGCCGTTTCCGTAGTGCTTGCGGTAGATGTCCTCTGTGCCCCAGAAGCAGCCGCTGGCGACGGTGGCGTACTCGACGGCGGACGACATGGCGGCAGAGGGCGACGAAGACTGGAGAGCCTGCTGGGCTGCCTGTGCGGTCGGGGTGGTGGGGGGACCGAGGGTCTGAATGAGGGGCGTGTTGCGGAAGAGGGAAAAGAACCTGCTGCTCATCAAGGGCGCGGGCGCGGGCGCGGATGCGAGGAAGAGGAAGAGGAGCGCGAGGGCGGGGACGACGAGGGAAAGGGCGAGGAAGGCGGTGGTGTTGGTCGGTCGGCTCAGATTGGATTGGGCTGTCGCGGGTGGTCGCGACGTGATTTTCCTCACTGTGTTTGTACCTGTGGTTCAAGTGATGCTGTGGCGTTGGTCGCTTGCTCGAGGTGGTGGTGGGGAGAAGCCAAGCTTGGCAGCGGCCACGGACGAGGCAAAGCAGTGGCCGAGGGTGGCCAGACCAGCCAGCAGCGGAGGGGGGCTGGTGGCGGCGGCGGCGGATGACGTGATATCGGGGGCCCTGCCCCATGCATGGCTCCACCTTGACTTTTTTTCGCGCGCCGGCCTTTCGGGTCTCGCTGCTCCGCGCAAATCGCCGGTGCTCTCGACCCGATTGAGAGAAAAAGCAAAGCCCGCCCGTCAGCCGATCCAGGCCCGATTCCTTGGTCGATGTCCCCGCTGCACGGACCCTCGCTGCCCGGACCTTGGCCTCGAGGCCGATCCTCAGGGTCGCGGCCTTGCACCTGCTCCTCTCTCTCTCTCTCTCTTCCACGTCCCATTAACATCCTATTCCGCTGGCGCCGCTTTCTCACACCCTTACCGCCACCGCACCCCGCTCGCCACCCGCCATGCCGTCGAGCGCAGGCTACAGCTTCAGCGGCAGTGGCAGCGGCGGCGGCGGCAGCGCGCCCCTCTCGCCCCCCCTGGGCAGCGCCGCCGCTCGATTTCAGTCCCTCTCGTCGTCGTCGTCGTCGCAGCAGCAGGACACCGAAGTCGCCTTTGCAGAGCTGCAGCTCCTCTCGCAGAACCAGCGCAAGCTCGCCTCCCTCACAACCCGCATGACGACCATCCTCACCGGCTTCGACAAGCGCCTCATCCGCCTCGAGGGCAGCATCCTCCCCATCCACAAGAGCACACAGAAGCTGGCTCGCATGTCCGACAACATCGACCTCACACTCGCAGCCCTCAACAAGACACTCGGCCACTACGACGTCCTCATCGACGAGCAGCCCATCATCAAGGCCGGCCCAGACGTCCGCGACACCACCCCCTACATGGAGACCATCGACCGCGTCCTAAAGGGCCTCGACTACCTCCGCCGCTCCGACCTAAAGAGCCAGGAGGGCGTCATGAAGCGCATGAACGACCTCGTAGAGACGGGCGCCCGCAACCTCGTAGATGTCGTACGCGACTGGGTCAACGCCGACTCGGAACCCATCGACCTCTCCGAATACAGCCCGCGCAACGCCAGCTACCCCGTCCTCTCGGGCCCCACCCAGGAGGCCATCGTCCCCATCTTCCACTACCTCGCCACCCTCCACGACCACCCGAGGACCGGATACTCGCCTCTCCCCGCTTCTCTCTCGACCTACGCCAACGTCCGCTCCGCCTACCTCGACCGCTGCCTCTCGCCCATGGCGCAGCGCATCTACACGTACGCCGTCGAAAAGATCGGCACCACCGCCTCGAGCGCCGGCATGGTCATGGTCAACCACGACGACGACGACGACGCCGCCGGCACCTACCGCAGGGGCGACGCCGACCCCGCTGGCACCGTCAGCGCCTACTGCGGCATGCTCGAAAACGACTACCGCATCCTCCAGAGCCTCCTCTCCGACGCCGGCCTGCAGAAAGAGGCGCTCCTCTCGATTGCCACCTTTTCCCACCTCGCATCGGCGCCGCTGCGCACGCTCGTCGAGAACCTCGGCTCGGTCCACTCGCACGTCCGCCGTCACCTCTCGACCCACACCTTCTTCCTCTTTGACCTCATCGGCGGCCTCTCGACGGCCATCCTCTCGGGCCGCTGGGACGCCCTGGTGCGCCAGATGGACGACCCCTCGGGCGGCATGCTGCGCTCCGCCTACACCATCAACAAGTCCGACCTCGACGTGGGCGCCGGCGTCGCTGCCGCCAACGAGGTCCTCGACCTGTACAACAAGTTCAAAAACATGGCCATGGGCGTCTTTCCGCGCTTCGTCGAGGACATCAAGGCCATCCCGCAGAGGAGGGCTGCAGAGGTGCCCAGCACCTCGGTCAACGAGATCACGTACATGGCCCTCCAATTTGTCCGCCAGATTGTCGAGTACAGGTGGGTTGCAGAGGAGCGGATCCCCCCTCCCGCGCGCGCGCAAAGAGCCCGCGGCCGTCGTGCTGAGATGGGCTGACACCTTGTCCCTCTTCCCTTTGCGCCGCGCAGCGACGTGGTCGGTCCGCTGCTGCAGACGCTCGGTCCGGGGTCCTGGATGATGTCGAGCAGCGCCGCACCCGTCCTCTCGCTCGGCCTCGACGACGACCCGTCGAAGCGCACCATCGTGGGCGAGTACCTCAACGACGTGCTGGCCGTGACGCTAGGCGCCCTCGAGACGCGGTCCAAGGCGATCCGGCAGCCGTCGACGGCGTCCATCTTCCTGCTCAACAACATCGGCCACCTGTCGCGGTCGATGCGCGCGCCGCTGCCGTCGCACTTTGGCGGCGACGACGACGGCGGGCGCGGACCCTCGATCCTCTCGCTGCACCTGGGCCAGATGGGCGAGGACCTGCTGCTGAGCGCGACGCGGCAGGCCAACACGGCGTACCTGGACGCTTGGTCTCCGGTCGTGTCGACGCTGATGGAGGACCAGCCGCTGGCGGGCGCCCAGTCGCAGTACCACCGCCACGCCACGACCAAGCTCATGGGCGTCGGCGGCGCCTCGGAAAAGAACCAGGTCAAGGACCGCTTCGCCAAGTTCTACGAGGGGCTCGACGACCTCGAGCGCCTCCACCGCGCATACCCCTTCAGCCGCGAGGACCAGGAGCTCAAGGAGCGGCTGCGCAGGGACGTCGAGCGCATGGTGTGCCCCATGTACGCCAAGTTTATGGCCAAGCACCGCGCCGGCGACTTTACAAAGAACCCCAGCAAGCACATCCGCATGAGCGAGGCCGAGGTCGAGGACAAGGTCCGCAGGATGTTCGAGTGACAACGGTGCGCGCAGGCACGCACGCCGTTGCATGATGAGCCGGGCGCGCTGCCCTTCGACTCGTCTTTCTGTACTTGTATCGATCGCATTTCTCAACCCATTTTCTTATCTGGTCGCCGTGGCAGAACGCGAGCGAGTGCGGAGACGGACCGCCGGGGAGGGGCGCACCTAGCGGAAGTCGACGAGACCAGGCGTGAGGCGCAGGGTATCCATCCACTCTGTCCTGATTTTAGACCCATAGAGGACCGAGAGGCCAGTGGCGATTCGATCAAAGTACTGCTTGCTGATATCGTCTCCTTTGGCCGCGTACCCCGTCGAGCCGCTGGCGGCTGGACCTGCGACCCAGCTGCCGAGGCCCGTCTTGAACGTCGTCTTGATGCCGCGCGGCGACTGGGCGAGGAGGGAGGCGTACTCGTCCCACGCCCGCTGTCGCGCCGACGTGGTGGCGTTGGCGGGGAGGGAGAGGTAGTGGCGCGAGGCGCGCGAGATGGCCGTCCACGAGTAGGGGTCCTGGCTTGCCGTGCGGGCCAGGTTGCTCTGGATCCACGAGGCGATGTGGATATTGACCCAGGGCCGCAGCAGGTCCTTTGTCTTGAGCGCCGACGGATCCAGGACTTTACCCGTCGCCCAATCGAGTAGCGCTCCCATCCCCTGCGTTTCCTCCCCGCCGTTTTGGGGTGGCGGGGACCAGGAGTAGGAGTTGGTGTCGACGACGGCATGCTCGCGGAACAGCTTGAGCTCCTGTCCGCTCCCGAACGGAGAGACCTGCATGAGCCCCCACGCGCTCCCGCTGTCGAGGCGCGCGCCCGATACGAGGTCGTGCCGAAAGTCGGACTCGGCCAGGATATCGGCCATGATGAGCCGCGCCGCGGCGAGCGTGGGTATGTCCGGGTAGTAGCGCGCCGAGGCCGACGCGATGGCCGCCACCGTCTCGTCGAGCAGCTCCGGGGTCGAGAGTTGCGAGAGGTCCCCGGCCCACGCGCGGAGGAGATGCAGATCCCGCCGGATCGAGACGAGGGCGTACGACGCGCTGCTGCTCGTGAGCCGCAGACGGGCGAGGTTGGGTGCGGCCGCCTGCGCCCGTGGCGACGTCGGAGCGCCGCCGGCGGCGAGACGGTGCGACGACGAGGCGGTCGACGTGTCCCCTTCCGCCGGGCGGGTCGAGCTGGACAGTCCCAGGCTCTGCAGCGCCGCCGTGCCGTTCCGCCCAGCCTGGTTGAGCGACGAGACGACGAGCTGCCTCGCCCGCCGCCCCGCGATGCCGCGGCCGTGCATGACCCGCTGCACGACCTCGTCCACAGCCACCTCTGCCCCCGCCGCATCTCGAAACACCTTGGGAACGGCGGGGACGCTCTTGGCGAACGTCTCTCGGCCGCTCTCCCTTTGCAGCCGTGCCGCCTCGGCATTGGCTGTCGCGGTCTGAGTCGGCTCGGGCGGGCTGGTGGTACGGCTCGACGGAGACGGCGAAGAGGAAGAGGAGGTGGACGGGGCGAGGGAGGTGGTGCGTCCGCCCGGGCGGAAAAGGACGGTATACGCCGACGCGGGTGGCCCGTGGATGCCATGTCCCTGGAGGTTGTAGGATCCATGTGCGATCGGCAGCGTAGGGCTCGGATCGACTTGGCCGCCCGACCTCGACATCGACGCCTTTGCCGCGCGTCGCCCTCCATCCAGACGGGGTACGGCGAGGCCTTGCACGGCATCGAGGCCGACGAGCAGCGCTACCAGCAGCGCGTACATCCGCGTCCGCGTCCGCGTCGGTCGTACCATTTCGTTTGTCTCGCAGCGGCGAGCCTGACCAGCAGGGAGGGGCCGGGCGCGAGAAAGGAGCGGCGGTGATCTAGCAGCTTGGCTTGGTTTGGCTTGGCTTGGCTCGACTTGGCTGGGCCCGTACGGCAGCAGCGACGACGTCCAGCGCCGACGGTGCGGGTCCTTGATGGTAGCCAAGGTGACAACGGACGGACGATGGTGGTGGTGATGGTGGCGGAGGCGGAGGCGGTGGCGGTGGCGAGGGCGGTCGAAGCGCTAGATTTGCAGCAGGAGGCCACCCCGCTCGCTGTCCTTGCCAGGCAGGTGAGCCCAAGCGTCACCCCACACACTAGAAGTTGAATCATGGCGACGCGTGGCCTCGGCCGCAGCCTGTCGCAACCTGGCCGTCCGGCGCGCCATATCAGCTGCAGCTTCCTTTTTCCTCTCCGCACGCACTCACGCACGCCGGCAGCGGCAGGCACACACCTCTTCGCTCGACTTTCTTCCTGGCAACAAGAGGGGGGCGACGTCATTTCGAATGCTTGTCTATTTCCCAGCGGCGAGCTGCCCGACCATGGCCATAGCAATCAAGAATCAAGGAACTCGAATCACCAACGCAAAATTCACGACAAAGACCAGCAAAGCGGAGAGAGAGAGAGAGAGAGAGAGAGAGAGTGGAGCAGGGTGGGGGGCGATGGGGTTTGGGAGGGTATTCAGGAGCGGAAGAGTGAGTGGCAGCGGCGGCGGCCTGTGAGCTGGCTAGCCACCACTTTGTTCACTGTCCGAGGCCCTTGCGCAAGCCGTCGGTAAGGGCCCAGATGCCCCAGGCGCCGGGGTCCGGCGGCATGTCGCCGTCGTCCTTGCTGCCGACGTACGTGGCACGTCCGAGGCGCGGCGTCAGCTTGACGGTGCTCTCGGCTCCCGACCTCGATGCCTGGACGGCCTCGGACAGCGGCTTGCCGGCGCCCAGGGCGC